AACTGTTGGACTATGACTCTAGAGGATCAGGGATTGAATCCTGTCTCAGCCATGTAAGCCCACTGGGTAACCTTTGGAAAGTCACATTTTCTTCACTTCAGAGGATGGCAATGGCAAACCTGCTCTGAAAAAACTTGCCAAGAAAAACCCATGATAGGTTCACCTTAAGATCACAAGTCTGAAATAACTTGAAAGCACACAACAACATTACATAATCATTTATGTAAATCCCAATGATTCTATGCAGAAAACATTCTTCATAAAGTAGTTCTTTATGTAAATATTTTTGTGCAAAACTCAATTTCTTTCAATAGATTTTCCACAAAGCACCTCAAAATGCTCTATATATGCATAAAAGCTAACATAGGGGGGTTGCAGACTGCCAGAAAAAGTGCAAATTCAGTCCACTTTTAGGGTTAGGGTTAGGGTTAGGGAATCATGGGAACTGTAGTTTATTGTGGCACTAGAGCTCTCTGACAGAGAAGGCTCAATGTCTCAGAAAAAAAACAATTCCCATGATTCCCTAGCCCTAACCCTAACCCTAAAAGTGGACTGAATTTGCACTATTTCTGATAGTCTGCAACCCCTGATAATCTCACCTAGCAGAGAGAAAACTTTTGACGTTATTCATTCTTGCATGCAAGAATTGAAAAAGTGAAGATTGACATGTCTTCGCTTCTTCCATTCTTGTGACTATAGTGTTGGGTTGAAACTTGGGAGATGCAGATACAAGTTTCAAAAAGCCAGGAAACTGCTTGGATAGCCTTTGCAGCTCTCTCTCTTCTCTCTCTCTCTGAGCCTAAACTAATTTACAGGGGTTTTGTGAGCATACAACTGGGAGTGGGGGTGTCACATATATGACTTTAAGGTAACTGGAAGAAATTAGATTACAAATTAAATTATAAATCAAATAAATAAACAAAATGCACACAATATATCATATTGTGCAGTAGATACAAGTCCTACTGCTTCATAATGTCAACAGTACTAAGGGTTTTATTAATCACTTTTAGATCATTAGCAGAACAACCAAAAAAAATTCTTGAAGTAGTTACACTCAGTATTAAGTCTATAAAGAAAACTTTGAATGACTATATCGGATTGAAATTCAGTTGAGGGGTTAACTTTGTTGTGGAACATGAAATGTGGTGTCTATAAATAAATAAAAACACTGAAACAAACTGATCTCGCTAGCACTATTAGACAATTCATTTAGCTTACAGGAAGTGTGGGCAGCCATGCAGTTACTACATATCAAAAGCGAGTAACCCCTGTGTGAGCTGACTTCTAGATCTGTAATTCAAGACAGCTTCTGACACAGAGGCAACTGGAAGCAGCTCATAAAGCTTTCATACTGGGGTACAGTCAGGAATTATGGCAGTGAAAACAGTCTCCCTTACATCTTGCTAGCACCCCCAGCGTTGGCACCATAACTGGCATTTCTGCCTTCCTCTGCAATCTTGTCAGTTGAGACTGAGTACAAGAAAGGTAAGTTGAAACCTACAGTAGTCTTCACTAATGTGAGGATCAATGGTCGACCTCATATCCATCCCTTCTGGTGAAGAGGTGCACTGAGTATGCAATCTTTTACCAGCCTCCTCATAAAGAACAACCAACAGGCAAACTGGAAGCCATCTACAACATACAAGCAGAGATGTTTGTCTAATAATTCCCTGTGATATTCTGTGATGAATCTCTTGACCTCCTTACTTCATTGGACAATAATAATCCATTTTTAGTATCTACTGTTGTAGCCACCTTGAACCCCATTTTGGGAGAAAGTCCAGATATAAATCCAATAAATAAATAAAATGAAATAATTTATACCTGTTTACTTGTTGAAATGTTTTTTTAATCTTGCTGAACATAAGAACTCCCCCATTACCAGCTACCTACTTTCTCAGCCAATGACCGCACCAAAAACAACAACACCCTTTTCTTCTTAACTCATCAATAACACTTTTTGAAAGTTATTTTAAAAAAGTGAATGAAGAATCTCTGCCCTCTCCAGTCTGATGCTCCACATGGCAGTGCAGCAACGCACAATGTCAAAGCACCACTGAGAAATAGCTTTCCTAAGTGCCACTGACAGGCCATTTCCAACAGGCACATCGTCCCAGCCTAGAACATGGCTTACCCCAGTGGTTCTCAAACTTTTTACTCTTGTGACCCCCTTTATATCTATATGCAGACACCACATTCCTCTCAACATAGTATATGAATACAAATAATTTTGTTTGTTTAATGTGCATGTTTTCATTTGCATATTCATGCATATTCATATTATGACATTTGATAAGAAAATAACATTGTTCAAATTACTGTATTCACTCATGCATAAGTTTAGAAATTTTAGTCAAACAAATAACCCAAAAAACTGAGGTCAACCTATCCATGTAAGTTCTGTACTTTAATTCTTATTTTAAAGGTGAGAGTGTAATCTGTCCTGGAAGCACTAACTCCCTTCTACCCTCTCATCCATCCAGCTTTTAGGAAGAGCACAAACAGTTATGCCTGCTGGAATTTTCTAAGTATGCACAACATACAACCCAGGGGCCTCATACAGTCCGCCAAAGGATTTTGGGTGGCCTGCAAGATGTGGAATGACTTCAAGGCTCCTCCACTGCTTGACCTTCTCCTGAGGAGAAGGCCAGGCATTAGAGGAGGAGGATGGGCAAATGTTTGCCGATCCTTTACCATCCGGTTTTCTCCAGAGGAGGAGGTCGCATGGCAGAGGAGGATGAGCAAATACTTGACCTACAAGGCTTCTCCACTACTTGGCTTTCTCCTGAGGAGAAGGCCGGGTGGAGGATGAGGATGGGTGAACACTCATAATGCTCCTCCGCTGCTCAGCTTTCTCTTGAGAAAAGGGTCAGGCAAAGGAGGAGGAGGACGGAATTAATATTGATATTATTAATAAATAACAATTAATATAATTGATTTTAATTAATTAATTAATTTTAAATTAAGATCTATCTGCGACCCAAAGAAGGGTCTTTGCAGACTGTCAGAAATAGTGCAAATTGAGTCCACTTTAACTGCCCTGACTCAGTGCTAGGGAATCATGGGAACTGTAGTTTATTGTGGCACCACAGCTCTCTGACAGCGAAGGCTCAATGTCTCAGAAAAAAAATACAATTCCCATGATTCCCCTAGGTTTTATTACATACCCCTAGGTTTTATCCTCAACAGCCATGGACCACATCAAAATCCATTAATTTTGGCCCCCAAACCTGCCCTCAACTTATGGATGAGGTTGACTTATAATTCAGTGTATGAAGCAGAACAGTTTTATTTAAACAAATTCAGTTTTCAACATGTCTAAATTTTACACATATCTCCCCAGGACAGAAAAAAAAAAACGGGGGAAAAACAAGGAAGGGGAATTGGGGCTTTCAAGTGTTGTGCCCCCTTGAAAAACTCTTGCATCCTACCCTGGTGGGTCCCACCCCACCTTTTGAGAACAACTGGCTTACACAGCATGCTGGATGAAGAGGAAAGGAGGCAGAGACCTTCACCCTCCTGACAGTCCTCTGGAAAACTGGACTGCCAGTGGAGCCCAAAAAGTAGGCTGGGACTGTAGAAAGGCTGTAAAATATACCTTAATGGTTTGGAATTGTTAATTCATGGTAGGGATAAAAATGAAGATCAGAATCTACCCTTCTCTTTTGCTTCAACCGTAAACAGAATGGGAGGGCTGTCAGGCTGCAACCACATTACAGGAATAATGCAGTTTGACATTGCTTTAACTGCTGTGACTCAATGCTATAGAATTCTGGGATTTGTAGCTTTGTGAGATATTTAGCCTTCTCTGCCAGAGAACCCCGGTGCCACAATTAACTACAAATCCCAGGATTCAATAGGATGAAGCCATGGAAGTTAAAGTGGTATCAAACTGGCTTATTTTTGCAGTGTGGATGCAACCTGAGATACTGGATCTGCAGACACTTTGCCCCTATAGGATTCTTTCAGATGGTATAATACTGGATTCTTGTCTATTTCTTCCACTCTAGTTACGTAGATACTATAGTTGCTCTAAATTAGAGGATTTTGTTGTTGTTAACTGCCTGGAGTTGACCTCGACTCATGGCAACCCTGTGGATGAGACATCTCCAAGACTCCGTGTCTTCCACTTCTCTGTTTAAGTTTTCAGACTCATGCCCATGACCTCCCTAATGGAGTCTATCTATGGGCATGTGGTCCAAATCAAGCTAATTCATCTCCCAACCCCAACTGTACATGCATCCAATAATTTGCTGAAGGGCAGAGGAACATTTTCTTGTATGCTCTAAAATGCACTGAGCACAAAATAATCTGCCAACAAAGCCAAATATGATACAACCTCCTGAAACCCAAGTTACAGCATACATATAGTGTAGACATTTATCTACACTATATAATTACAGCACTTTTATGCTACTTCAAATGCCAGGGCACTACTCCACAGAATCCTGGAAGCTGTAGTTTTGTGAAGGATTTTGGACTCTCTGCCTGAGAGCTCAAATGCTATACAGGTTGAGTCTCCCTCATCCAAAATGCATGGAATCAGAAGTGTTTCAGATTTATTTATTTTAGTTTATTTTTGGATTTTGAAATATTTGCATATACATAATGAGATATCTTGGAAATGGGACCCAAGAATAAACATGAAATTCATTTATGTTTTGTATATACCTTATACACATAGCCGGAAGGTAATTTTATACACAATTTTTTAAATAATTTTGTGCTTAAAACAAAGTTTGTGTACACTGAACCATCAGAAAACAAAAGTGTCATTATCTCAGTCACTCATGAAAATGTTTTCAGTTTTGGAGAATTTTGGATTTTGGAATTCCAGATAAGGGAGACTGAACCTGTAGTTCCATGGACTGCTCTAAAGAATGGGACATTTGTACTCACCAAGTTGGTATCTTTTCTGAAGTAAGGATTCCCTACTGTGGGTCTTGCAAGGAAGTTGATTAATTGGAAATCTTTGACTCTAGAGTGCATGGGGTGGAGCAAGAGTGGCACAGTGGTTTGAGCACTGGACTAAGACCCTGGATACCAGGGGTCAAATCCCAGCTCAACCATGTTAAACCTGCTGGGTGGCCATGGGCAAGTCACACTCTCTCAGCCTCAGAAGATGGTAATGGCAAGCCTTCTCTGAACAAATTTTGCCCCCAAAAAACCCATTAGGTTCACCTTAGGGATTGCCAGACATTGGAGACAACTTGCAGGTGCACAACAACAATACCTCCAACGCCCTCAACGCAGCACATTTAAGAGACACAAAGCTACAGAAGTGTATGGGAGACACAAGGCCTATAGGAAAGATGCCCTCCCCACACTGTAAATAAATTCTTAGTACTTCATCAAATGACAAGGTCCAGAATTTTGTAGGATGGAGACATGCAAGTTTATGTGGAATCATTCCCCCATTCCCCTGTTCAAGGGGAGGAAGATATTGTTTGTTGTTCTTATTGTTGAACAACTCTTGAGACCAAAATTCTTTCCAATCCATTAAAGTTATGAAATTGTTGTTAACAGCAGAAACAAGAATATCTTCTTTCCCTTTAAATGGAGGAAGGGGGATGATTTCATTTTAGCCATGGCAAATCACCAAGAGATTCCCATCTGCCTTCCATCTACACCTCTTGCTAGCAACAAAAACTTAGAGCACATGGGTACATTTGCCACGAAGTAATACCCAAATTACTCTGCATTATCAATCAACTGTGCAATAACACTTTCCTAAGGATAACACACACTGTCAAGAATAGCACAGGCTTTTCAAAGACTCTTCCCAACAGAGATCTTCCTGATTTAGGAAAGAACAGGGAAACGTTTTCAAATCCCTTTTTCAGCTAGCTAGGGAAAATGTTGCAATCTGCAGAGAAGAATGCCACAAAAGAGGCCTGGCAACAGAGTTTCCTTAAAAGAAAAAAAAACTGTTATATGGATCCAATTAATTTGGTGAGGAGCAGATGAACATTCCCTTGAATGCTCTGTAGTGTTTTCAAAAACATGGGCAGAGTCAAAATTCATGGCATGCAGGGTTGACAATCAGGATGTGACTATTAACAAGCTTGTGTTCTAACTAATGACCAAATGAAAGTACTGATTTCAGTTAATCTTGCCATGTACTATTCTGTAAATTTAAAATATTGTCCACATTCATAAATTACATAATGCCCATTTTTGTGTCTTTATGAAAGGACCAACGTAAGATTTTATGGTATCTCATTTATGGTATCTATATGAAAGGACAAGCCTTCCAATCTTGTAATAGAAGACATCACTTATAATAAGGGACAATCTTTCTGGCTTTCAAATAAGGACTATTCTTTGCAGTGGCATCATTAAGGTTGGTGTTACCCTGTGCAGTAACCCACTGACCTCCTCACAAACCACACCATACAGAATCCTTAGTAATGTTTTTGTACTAATGTGACTCATAAATCGTAATACCCATATAACACTATGCTGTAACATAAACGACTAGCAAAATTAAAATTATAACTTTAAATTACTATATCGTACACACAGCCTAAATGTATTTACATTTACATAGTTTCATCTGGTTAAAATGAAAATTGGGTAAGATATGATGATTTTGAATTTTTTTTTTAAATAATACAACATTTAAAAATTAAATTTAACCCAAGGCCCCTCCTTTCTCCTCCCACTGAGCCTCACCCCATTCACCCCATCTCTTCCACTGGTCTCTCATTATTATTTCTCATCCTCTAACTTACCTTTTTTATATACAATGAACTTTACTATGTCTTAATACTGTCAGATATGAGAATCTCTTCCTCACTCCCCAAACCTCCCCCATCTGTGGAGAAAGAACATCCAATATTCTTGATGAGGAATGGTAGAGACTTCCAGAAGAAATAGAAAGCCTACTCATTTGGCTGTTTTTATTTTTCAAGCAGTAAAAATAAAGCTACCATGGGAACACAGATATCATGCATCCTGCACCTGCACCTGCATGACATACTTCAGGCACCTAATTTGCTAAGAGCCACTAAATTCATTCTTCAACTTGCAGTTAGCAGTCTTTCTATCTCAAGGCAAGACTATTAAAGCAGCCAGAGGAGATGGGAAAACAGACGTTACACTGTTGATAACACAAGCTCCAGTGTTCTAACAAAACAACCCACTTACTTTACAGTGCATATATCAGCCTCTTCATTTGTTGTAATGATTAATGTTAAATCACAATTTAACATAAGGGTCTCTCGCCTTTCTTCTAATCCTCAATTGCCTCTAGTTTTACACAGCAAAACTCGGAAAATACGTGTCTGAAGACAAAACACTGATGCTAAGCACTACATGTTCAATAAAGATGTTTTTAAATGTAGTGTACATTCTAGATTTTTCCAAATATCTCCCACCCAACTCCAATATAGGTGTAGGGATGAGAGCAAATGGCCTACTCACTGAATTGTGAATTCATATTGGGAGATGTGCTCAGAAGAGAAAAGAAAGTCCAAAGCTGCACAACTCATACTGGAATGTGAGAAGCATGAATCAGTGGAAGAATGACAAAGGGCCAAAGCAGATAGCCTGGAAGGAGCGGCCTCTGGCCACTCCAGCCCCAATTGTGCTGGGACAGCAGTGACTGCGTGGCCCACTTCCAAAGCAGGCCTCCACCACAGTCCTGAACAGGCTGCCAGCAGAAGCAGATTTAATCCGCTCCTTTTTGGGCAAGCTCTTGGCCCGTAAATGTGACCTTGGAGCAGCTTCCAGCGGCTTTGGGGGCATGTGTCATCTGAACACCACACCCCAAAGCATCCAGAAGCCACTTCTTTTAGCCCATCTGTTTCGGGCGACAGTAAAACAAGGATGGAACACATAAACATTGCATAACTAGGGATGTGTAAGCTACATGGACAGGAATAGGACATTTTAAGTCATATAATAACACAGTGTTTCAATCAGGAAATTTAATGATAGGAAGTTAGGAGGCCTGTATAGTGAAGAAAGATGTAGCAAAAGCAGTCAAAGGATATAACGTCTAATTGAATCATGTCAATAAGGCTTCAGGATAAACCCATTAATATCACCATAATCCAAGTTTATGCTGCAATCACAGAGGCAAAGGAAAAAGAAAAAGATAGATTGAACACATGGACATCACCTGATGGCCTACACAAAAATAAGATAGACTACATATTAGAAGCAAAAGATGGAGAAGCTCCATTGTCTATGTAAAACCAAGTCCAGGGGCAGACTGTGGCAGCGACCATAAGCTACTAACAGCAAAAGTTAGAGTAAAGCTAAAGAACATAAAACCTGCCATCATCCCAAAATAAAACCTGAAGTACATTCCAAAAGAATTTAAAGGATGAAAAATAGATTAGCACCATTAAGCCTGATCAATTGATCAGGAACCAGAACTCCAGACTGATGCTAGGGACATTGTTAGGGAGGAAAGCAAAACAAAAAATAAATAAAAATAAAACACTATCAGTAGACAAAATTAAAAGAAGCCTCAATGGATGACAGTTGAAACTCCACAAGCAATTAAGGACAGAAGAGGGGGGGAAAGTGAAGGACAGAAATAGAACCAAGACCTCAATGCAACCATCCAGTGGCTTGTATGCAGGGATAAGGAGAACTACTATAACAATCAATGTAGCAAAATAGAAGGTGACAACAAAACAGGAAGAACAAGAGACCTCTTCAACAAGATCCAAGCAATCAAAGGGAAATTTAAACCAAGAGTGGGGATGTTCTGCAACCAGCAAGGAAACACATTACATATGACCAAGCAGCAATAAAACAATGATAGAAATAATATGCAGAAAAGTATATAAAAGAATGTCAGATTCATATGAAGAAGAACCAGATGAAGACCAGCTTTTAAGGGAGAAATGGAAGCTGAATCAGTCCAGTCACTAGTAATATACTAAGGCAACACGTGCCTATGAGCAGGCTGGTCTGGATGTATGGTTTTGGTTAGGGTGCAGGTGAGTTTCATGTTTAAATCCCAGAGAAACCCTGCCTAGGAGAATGAAGTCATCATTCCTTCATTGCAATACCATTTTTTTACTACAACAGGCTTTTAATGGGTTCCTATTTTGTTGATTTCTATAGATTTAGGTTTTAATGAATTTTAAAGAGTTTTAAATTTTAACTGTTTAATTGTTTTTAAATAGCACACCCATGCATATTGCCAATGTTTTTGTATGTTTTTAATCTGTACTGGTTTTAATAATTTGTAAATTCCCTTGAGTCCCAGTATTGGAGAAAAGGTGCAATATAAATGTGAAGGAGGGGGAGATCATTCAGTCAATGCAGTTGGGAACAACAGTAGAATAGAACTATTTTTTCAGGTCTTGATTAAGAACTTCCTAAAGACATTTTGGCTGAACACTATAATTGCCTACAAGATGGACTTTCAGCCCCATTCAATAGGGCTGTTTTCATACAAATACCCATTCTTAGTGGTGTCATTTTCTTTTTACCCATTTATATATAGACATGAAAAACTGACTGATTAGAGGGGTTATGCTGCTGATTTTCAGTTGATCAGCGAGGCATATCTGAACACACACAGCTACAGACCCTATACTTGGCATGTATATGGTAATAAGGGAAGCTGAAAACATTTTGTTGCCTAAGATATAGCAGACCATACACTTTTTGTGCATAATACCAAAACCTAGCCAAATTGACACCTATGACAGAAAATCCTACAAGTGCCTCCTCCCAACCCTAGCAGTAAAAATACAATAATGACAAATTAAATAACTAATATTGGCTGCCCTTTCATGACACCCAAAATCTGCTGGCTCAGACAATTCTCTCAACCAAACTAACAGCAGGGTTCATCCTGTATGGTAGCCACCACTTACTCTTACTCTACCCCAATCAGTCCTATTTCAATAATAGCTACGTAGAAAAACTCCAGGCAGAAAAAATACCATTTCTAAATGGAAAGGGAAAAAACACTCTTTGCCTTGTTATTTTTCATTACTTGTCTGCCTTTCAAAGGAAGCTTCTTCAAACTAAGATCTGGCCAACTCCTTTGGAAATGTCACAAAGAAAATGACACCACTAAGAATGGTTGGACTACATT